ACTTCCGCATACTCGGCTTCGGTTGTCAGGAAAGAGAAATTAACGGCATTGGCTATTGAAGCAGGCCAGAACCCTTGGGATCTTAGGTCATCGATCGACTGAGCGTTAGAAAACTGAACCAAGTACTGGCCCATTATGGATTTCATTCTTTCGGTTAAAGTAAGAAATTTGACGCCTACACTTAGTCGATCTTTTCCGCCTTCCGTTGTAAAGCCTACTCTTACAATTTGTACTGGGGTGTTAAACGTACCGTCGACACCGAAATTGGAAGTAAGACTTAGGATCAGGCCAGGTACGGGTAGTTTGTTTCTTAGTGAGCAAGTGAGTTGTAATCCCTCAGAAGAAATATCGGCGATCCTAAAAAACATATGATCTCTAATATGTCCCGGTGTTGGACAAGACGCAGTGGGATGATAGTCAGGTGAGCACATCCATCGTTCAACGTTCCTTCTCTCAGAATGGTTTGCCAGCTCTCGGTGGGGTTTGTTGAAGCGAACTCCGGCAAGCGATATCGACTCGTTTGCTTGAGCGAGATCTACGATAAGGCCATCGAATTTGATACGTTGGCCTGCGATTAAGAGCTCGAGATCAATGGGGTCGCCTTTGCTTAGGATTACCCCTTTTTCAGGTTGCACTAGTTCGACGCCAAGAGGGCTCATTTTCCAGACTCGAGCCGCGATGTAATCATTGCTTTCTCGAAGCCGGATTCGAGCCTCGATGCGATCCGTTTCTCGTACGTCTGCAGGTCTGATGATGCTGTGTATTTTAGAAAAATCTAAGTTATATTTTCCTCGATTCGAATCGAATGTTTCTTTCATGGCGCGTTTGAAACTTCATCGAGAAGAGCGTTCATCAAATCGAAGGTTTGGTTGTCTGGAGTCAAAATATATAGGTAGCGTGTTTCGGGAAAGTCTCTAATCGAGATGTCGAGTGCATATAGGTCGACTGTGGTGGTCGGGAGTTCGACACCCAATTGTTTTACGTGATCAATAACGTCATCGCTTAGTAAAAGGTCGCCTGATTTTAACATCGAAGCCAGCTTTGGATGTTTTGTAATGTCATCGACACGACTTAAGAAATTAACGGGAGTACCGAGTGCAGTGATCTCTACTGATGAATCGAGACCTCCAAAGTTTCCGACCATTGCATCACCACACGAGATTAAAATATACCGACTAATTGCTATTTGAGTCGAAGATATGTTCATGGTTTCGTTTAGGCGACTAACTTCGATTCCGGCAGAAATCGCTCTAATTATGTTTAGGTGCAGAGAATCATCATCGAAGTACGCGAAAATTAGGTCCCCAACTTTTCTGGGGATTCCCCTTTTTTCTTCGATTGCGTCAGAACAGGCGGTAACTTCTGGAAGCACGCTTTCGACTACAAATTCATCAAGAGATTTGGAACCTTGGGTAAAGCCTCGAATATCAGTGAATAGGCAAGCTACGCCCTTTTTTTGTGCTTTCAGAGCCTCGATAGATGCTTCAACGACTGAATAACGCTTATTCTCTATTAAATCCGACATACGATCGGCAATCACTTTGGGAATAAAGGAGCGTACGCGCTCCGCATATTCAGTGCTCATGTTTGCAAGCTTTGTTTGATTGTTGATGTTTTCTTTGTTGAGAAGGAAGTTTCTTACTTCAGTAAGCCCAGTCCTTCGTACAATGATAGTGACTACTAAGACGACGAGAGTCGAGGAAGCAATATATTCGTTAGTTATCCCAGCTTCGCTTAAAACAGGTGCACCTACCACTGATGTTGCTAGCGCATAGATGGCGCTCGCGAATACGTTCAGACCCAAAAAAAGTACGCCAGTGATTAGGAACACATAGAAAAATATCCATGCGTCCTGATGAAACCAAACGGCTACTTTTGCTTGAGTGTACGTAATTATGAAACATGCCAGAATGGCTGGTAACTTGTAGTAGCGCCACTTTGAAAGAGGTGACAGGTAGAACGCGAAACATGCAGTTGCTAACGCGGAGATGCTCAAGCGTAACTTAAGCCAGAATTCGGTTGGTTCCAGCCCCATAGGCAAATCAAAGAAAAAATAGTTGGCGATAAAACCGATGGCGATCACGGCGAAAAAGAAAATGGCATACTTCAGAAATTGCTCTTGCTGCTGTTTGTCCCACTCCGACCGCCAGGTGGGTTCGGTAATTAATATCGACGGGAAAAGGAACGCCAGAAGCCGCTCTATAGTATTCATTATCTTTCGTCTTTTGTGTTTAGCATGGGGCCGCCCCTTTCAAACTAGTTCCCATCAGTAATTAACCCAAACGATTGGAAATTACTCGTGATTGAAAGACTATTTCGGTAACTAGCGATCTCTTGATCCTTGATACTGCCTGATCCACTTGTTTGCGCCAACATAGCTATAGTCGCAACAGTTCACGTCACCAATTCCCTTATTGTAGTGGTAAATCTCCCACGCATGTTGGGCCTATTTACCACAAGATCATCGGCTGATTGCGACTATCTTCAGGAAACGATCGGCGGTTAAGTGGATACCAAAGTGTTTTGTGCAAAGTGGGAGCTGGTTCACACTAGTTGAATACTCAACCCCATAATCTGCTCGTTTAAGACAAGCCAATTATTTCGAAAGCTTATGGATTGGAGTATCAGCGAAAGTTCATTTAGATGTGTGCACAAATCTGGCGCAATCGTTTACTTTGACCCGCACATATCATCTAGTGGTGCTATCAGATGCGTTGGACCTTTTCATGTGTTGGAAACCTCTTCCCGTTTGATTCGATGCATTATGAAGGAGTTAACTCAGCATCTTGAAGAGAGATTTTGTGAAGAGCGAGCCTATGTGCTCTGGGGTGCCTACGAAGACCTGCCTCAATATGAAGAACATGAATTCTCTATTCATGGAACTGTTTGTGGCCACATCCCTTCTATCTCCTTACGTGGTGATATTCTCGGTCCGTCTTCAGCAAACGAATGGGTTTTTAATGGGGAAGAATACTTGCACCGCTCAGGCTTAACCAGCATCTCTAATGTTGCTGACAAGATCGATAAAACGGCGTTTCATCCGTTAACAATATCTTCAGAAGTTGAGAGTTTACTCTCGCAGCTGCGGGCGCAACACGCATTTTTGCAAATACGATCGAAGGCAACTCCGTTGCTAAGGTGGGCGGGTCGCAACACAGACTTAAAGACCCCGCTCACTCCGCAGCAACAACCCGAATCTCAACTCGTGCACCTGGCACGGCGAGTTCGGTGATCCCGATTGCGGTCCATGCAGGATAGGGTTCTTTAACAAATTCGTCTTTCACTTTCATGAATTCGCCGATGTGAGACTGCAGTCCAACGTGGTAGCTTGTGAATTCAACAATGTGTTCATAGCCTAAACCTGCTTCACTCAATATGGTGCCTACCAGTTCCCATGCGTTGCGGAACTCTTCTTCTGCTGTGTCGCCTGACCCAATCTGTCCAGAAAAATAGAGCACACCATTATGATTTCTGGCTGGGGCGAAATGGAAGTTGTCGTACGATCGCTGCATGGAACTTGGGATGACGTTGCCTGACATAATGTTTCCTTCCTTAATTTGGGTAGAGCTTACGGCGCATTAACTTTCCGGTAAATGGCTTATGCGACTCAATAGGAATGTCTTGATGTCTGCGGAATGGCGTGCGGATACGCCTACGAGATTTTCGCGCGCACAAAAAAAGGGTGCAGATGCACCCTCTATCGAACAACCGAAGAGCTGTAAGCGTTAGCCTGTTGTATCTTCGATTTTTGCGGTTGGTGCGTTTTTGGCAACGCTTTTTGCACCGTTCTTACAGGCGGCGGGTGTTTCGTAAAGTTGCGATTGGCCAATAATCTGGCTGTTGCCGGCTTTCAATAGAAAGCGGTGTTTGCCGTTTTTGGATGTTTGCGTATCGAAACGATCAGCGACAGCAGCATTCTTTTGTATGCTTGCAATACCGTTCTTAACGCCAGCCTTAGTTTTGTATCCTTCGCCAGTGAGGATGATTTCGCCGTTACCTGCTTTCAGACGATAGCGAAATTCACCTTTCTTATCCTTGTAGATTTCGAACTTGCCAGCCATGTAAAACCCTTCTTTTTTGCAGTTTAGAATGCCACATCGTGGTCGAATGTTTGGAAGCCGGAACAATCGACCTATGTGGTTGTGCGAAGTATGCCTCGCCTTAGTAATTAAGTGCAAACGACTAGCACGTTAGTTTTAACTGCAGGCTCAAAATGTTTACGAAAATCAGACCTGCGCCGATCCAGGCGATGGCAGAGAACCCCATATTTAACAGCAAAGTCTAGCAAGCGTTGCGAAGACAATATCAAAAGTGAGAATGTTGGTCGCTCTGCTGATGGCGATTCTCCGGAGCGTTCATTGCGTAGGGACAAAAGTGAATGCGATGGATAACAAACCAACATACAAACTCGAGTCGAGAGCTATGAGCCGAGTTTTTGGCCGGTATAAGGTGCGGGTGATTGGTGTTGTTAGTAACACAACGAGTGTGGTCAGCGCCCAGCCGTTTTGTTCGGCGCAAAATAACTTGCTAAATACGTGAGTAGTCACGTAATATGCACGCATGAAAAATAAGCAACAAAAAATCACAGAAAACCTTGTCTTACAATTCCTTGATACGGCCGGTGTAATTGAACGACGTCTGGACAGTGCTCTGTCTTACACGCGTGGTATCAGCTTTAGCGAATTTCGCCTGCTGCGAACGTTATCACTTGGTAATGCTGCCGGATCATCACGGGTTGATCTGGCTCATGCTGTGGGACTTACACCTTCAGCTGTAACCAGGGCACTCAAGCCGATGGAAAAGCTTGGCTATGTGAAGACTGTCAGCAATGAGCGTGATGCTCGGCAGAGTTTAGCTCAGCTGACCAATGGCGGGAGAGAGCTGCTCAAAGATGCTGAAGGCGTATTTCATGATACGTTTTTGTCGTCACCGCTGAACGATCTTGATGCCGCCGAGGTCGAAGCATTTCAGATGCGCCTTGAAGAACTCAGGCGGCGATAATGGCGCTACCTGATTTGAACGCGGGCGCACTGGCGCCCGTGGCCGACGAACACGAGTCTGTCGCCTTCGAAATTACTGGCCGGGTACCTGCAGATCTTAACGGCACCTTAATTCGTAACGGACCCAATCCTTTCGCAGGGAAGTTCGCAGGCGCAGATGTGCTCGACTGGTGGCCCGAGGCAGCCATGTTGCACGGCATCAGCTTTGCCGGCGGTAAGGTTACCCGTTATCGAAACCGCTGGGTGCAAACCCAGAATTATGCTGCCTATAAGGGTGAAGATGTCACCTCGCGGGTGAACTCTAATCCCAATGTGAACGTGATTGAGCATGCTGGCGAGATATTGGCGTTAGCGGAAGGTGGTCCGCCGGTACGTATAAATACGTTGCTGGAGACGTTAGGCCAAAGTGATATTCATCCAGCCTTGAATGCAGGAGTAACCGCCCACCCAAAAATTGATGCCAAAACGGGTGAACTGATGTGTTTTCGAGCCGATTGGGCAGCACCTTTTCTAACCTACGGTGTGTTGAATCGAGAGGGTAAGCAAACTGTTGCTCTTGAAGTGGATCTGGCTGCACCCTCGATGATGCATGATATGGCGATTACTGCTCGTCACAGTATTCTCATGGACCTTAACGTGGGTTACGACTTTTCGATGTTCGATGAGGGTTACCGAATACCTATCTGTTGGGATGACAAGCGAGCTTCACGGTTATGCGTTCTTGCTCGTGACGGATCCACCATGAACTGGTTCGACATCGAACCCTGTTTTATCCAGCACGTTGTCAATGCATACGAAAAGTCACCGGACATCCTCGAAATGGATGTTGTGCGTTATCCCTGCTATTTCAAACGTGACACACAGAACCGAGGTTTTTTATCAAATCCGCTGGGTGTTTTGTGGCGCTATACGATTGATCTCGTTCGAGGTAGCGTAACCGAGCGGCAGCTAGACGACCTGCATATTGAATTGCCGCGGATTAATGAGTTTTTTGTTGGTCATCCCAATCGATACCTTTACGCGGTTGTGCAACCTTCAGATCAAGAGATGCGTGGCATTGTTAGTTACGACCTGGCCTCCGGTACCCAGCAGATTCATCAGGTATCTCCCGGTGATCAAAACAGCGAGCCGATATTTGTACCCAAACCTGGTGTCAGAAGTGCAAAAGAGAACGACGGCTATATTCTAGTGTGTGTGTTTCGGCAAAGCTCGAATACCACTGAAATCCGCATCCTCGATGCTGCGGATATTTCCAAAGCACCGCTGGCGACAGTGGACCTCGGGCGAAGAGTCCCTGCAGGCTTTCATGGAGCGTGGATTTCAGCGGCGGGGTAGCGCTATATGCGTATACCTTGCTCTGATTGGGGTACCCCCAACAGCTTAGTACTTACGAACCAGGTTCAGGAACCAGCATTCCTGGTCCCAGTCGAGGTTGGTTGAGGGAGCACTGGTTGACCGATCTGACATCGCGTACATTGTCGCGCTCAGCCTACTTGGGAACCTATTTTGAACAAGCCGGAAAACTCGTTTGGGTATAGCAGCAAAGTCAGTGTAAACCAGACCCAGAAAATCCAGTTTCTTGAATTTGCAGGCAAAACTGCTCGTCTGGCCGGTGCGCAGACGTTGCCATTTTTTCGTGTTAACACAGATGTTGAAAACAAGCGTACAGACGGGCATTTTGATCCTGTCACTGAGGCGGACCGAACCGCGGAACGGACGATCCGCGAGGCGATAGAACGCTCCTTCCCGAGTCACGGCATTTACGGTGAGGAATACGGCCACAAACCAGGTAATGGACTGACCTGGGTCATTGATCCCATTGATGGCACACGCGCCTTCATGGCAGGCATGCTGCATTGGGGTGTACTGTTGGCATTGTTTGATGGCGAGACGCCCATTGTTGGTGCCATGTACCAGCCTTATACCGATGAACTTTTCCTTGGTGATGGAGAGACAACTCATCTGGTACGTGGGCCGGACAAACGCGTACTACGTACCTCAACCTGCGAGGATCTGTCTTCTGCGGTGCTTGCCACTACCGGATACGACTGGTTCACCGCGGAAGATCTAACCCGCTTTGAGCGCCTGAAATCGTCTGTCCAGCTTTACCGCCTCGGTGGCGACTGTTACCTCTATGGTGCGGTTGCGATGGGCAACGTACACATCGGTACTGACGCTTCTCTGAATGCTTATGACATCCTAGCATTGATACCTATTGTTGCTGGCGCCGGAGGTGTAGTCACCACCTATGATGGTGGTAATGCCAGCATGGGTGGTGCTGTGGTAGCTACTGCAAACCCTGTGCTGCACAAACAGGTGCTGGCTGTGCTGCAAACAACATGATTTAGACGCAGCGTAGGTTCGTCGGACAATTGACGGCAGATTCACAAAGCAGCGACAACAACTTCACAAGCTGGGAACCATTGTAGGGGCGCCATTCAGGCATCACTCACTATTCTGGAGTTCTAGTTAGATGAAAATTTCAAACGTGTTAGGTTTTTTAGGGCTGGCGTTAACCCTGGCCGTTGCCCCTGTGCAGGCTGCTCATCATGAAGAAGCAAAAGCAGGCACCATTGTAGACGTTGCTGCGAGCGTTGATACGTTCAGCACTCTGGTCGCCGCGGTGCAAGCTGCCGGTCTGGTCGAAACCCTGTCCAGTGAAGGGCCGTTTACCGTGTTTGCACCAACAAACGAAGCTTTTGCAGCTTTACCTGCGGGTACGCTGGACGCATTGCTTGCAGATCCCGAGCAACTGGCCGGCATTCTGACGCTGCATGTGGTTTCCGGCAAAGCGCTCGCTGCGGACGTGGTTGGATTAACCGAGGTCACCACTGTCGCAGGCAAAGTGTTGCCGATTTCAACCGCTGATGGCGTGACTGTAGGTGGAGTGAACGTTATTCAGACCGACGTCATGGCAAGCAACGGCGTGATCCATGTGATCGACGCCGTCATTCTCCCCTGAAACGTCCTGGTTGGGTGAGCTACTGTTGTGCCGGCAGGTCGCCGTCGGCCAGCTGGCGCAAAGTGGCCACCAACAGATTTTGTTCAGACAGTTTCACCTTTGCTTCTAATCGCTCTGCGTCATCTGTCTTTTCTACAATAACGCGACTCTGAGCCAGTATTGGTCCGGAGTCGTAGTCTTTTTCAACCAGGTGGATGGTTGCGCCGCTTTCTTTTTCTTTCGCAGCGATCACCGCTTCATGTACCGCTCGTCCGTAGAAACCCTTGCCACCAAATTTCGGCAGTCGAGCCGGGTGGGTGTTGATGATACGCCCGCTGTACTTTTCCAGGGTCAGCTCACCCAGTTTTTTCATGTATCCGAGCAGCAGAAGCCAATCAACTTTTCGACTGTCCAGTTCGTCCAGTAACGCCTGGTCAGCTTGTGCCTGGCTGCCGTGGGATTTGCTACTGATATGACAGGTTGGAATATTTGCAGCTCTGGCACGCTTCAGTGCCCCGGAACCGCTGTTATTGCTGCATACCAGAACGATCTGCGCATCAACTTCGCCGGCGGCTACCGCATCAATGACCGCTTGTAAGGTGGTTCCCTCGTGTGAGGCGAGTACCGCCAGTCGAATCATGTGGCTACTTTGAATATAGCGGTGTGGTCAATTTCAGTGGTGAGAACGCCATCAAGCCAGTAAGTCACCCATATTTTTATGAATTCGTGGCCTTTTTTCTGCCACTTCTCTGTGGTGACAGAGCGAATAGTAATGGTGTCCTCTTGCCGCAGCGCCTGATGGTGAACAATATGCGAACTGGCGTGAATCCAGGTTGGCATTACGTATTCATTCATAAGCGCTGTATTGGCCAAAGACAGTAATAAGTGCGGGTGAACGTAACCTGCCTGGTAGATATCCAGGGTGTCAGCTACCTCGTTTGTATAGCGGGCGTTTTCCTCGGTACTCAGGTGAAATTCCCAGGGTGAAAAAACTTCGCTTTCGTTGACGGTGTCCCAACCGATAGCGACGCGGTCTGGATGTTTAAGCGGGCCATCCAGCAGCGCCAGATCATGCATCGGTACCGTTTCATCACTGGTTTTGTTGACGGACTGACTGAGCAGGACGGCAGTGAGTTGTCCTTCTGGATCATGGCTGACCACTTCTATCTGACCATCCTGGTTGTTGCAGGTGATGGTCATCTGCTCGCCATCGTAGGTCGGTTTTAATAATCTAAGCTGGATGTTTGCCCGCGCCAGCCAGTCTTCGCCAAATTTTTCGACCAGCGGATGGGTCATATAGCCGTATACCGCAACACCGGGAACAAGCGCACCGCGGAAGCCAAACTTCTGCGCAATTTCATCGCTGTGAATGCGATTTTCGCTGTCTTCGCTGTAGTTTTTTGCGGTAACCAGATAGTTGTTCATCAATACCCGTCAGTCAAAATGATTATTCTACCCGTAGGCCTGACCCGGTAGCCAGGTAACCAGAGCATCCCAGTTGAATATGATCAGCATGCCAAGCACCTGCAGGGCAATAAAGGGCACAACGCCTTTATAGATGGTGACAACGTCTATGCCTTCCGGCGCGACACCTTTCAGATAAAAAATCGCAAATCCGACCGGGGGTGTGAGGAAACTTGTTTGCAGGCAGACAGCAAACAGCACGGTGAACCAGATGGGATCGAAACCCAGGCTGAGTACCACGGGTGATACCAAAGGTAAGACAATCAGGGTCAACTCGATCCAGTCGAGGAAGAATCCAAGGATAAAGGTCGCCAGGAGGATGCAGATGATGATGCCGGTGGGCTCAAAGGGCAGGGACAGTAGTACACCCTCAATCAGCTCGTCGCCGCCAAGCCCGCGCAACACCAGGGAAAAGGCCGTGGCGCCTAGTAAAACGGCAAATATGAAGGCGGTTGTACGGGTAGTTTCCTGCAGAACATCCGCCATTACAGAGCGGTTCAATTGTCTGTTCAGAAAGGCCAGAAGCAATGCGCCAGCAGCCCCAACGCCCGCGGCTTCTGTGGGTGTTGCCAGGCCAAAGAAAATGCTGCCCAGGACCGCAAGAATAAGAAACGCCGGTGGGATAATGGCTTTAATCAGATCCCAAACGGCCTCAAGGTCGAAGGGTTGTACCTCTGCTGCGGGCGCCATGTTTGGTCGCAGCCAGCCAACGAGCAGCAGATAAGCGATATACAACCCCGCCAGCAACAAACCCGGGAAAACAGCGCCCAGAAACAGATCGCCAACACTCATCGACATACGGTCCGCCATCAGCACCAGCATGATGCTGGGCGGAATCAGAATACCAAGGGTGCCAACGGCACAAACGGTGCCGGATGCCAGAGATTTGTCATAGCCTGCGCCTAACATGGCGGGCAATCCCAGCAGCGCAAGAAGCACAACGGACGCACCAATAATGCCGGTAGTGGCGGCGAGCAGTAAGCCGATCAGTGTGACGGTAATCGCCAGCCCGCCGCGAATGCTGCCAAACAGTCGAGCAAAACTGGTCATCAACTGATTGGCAATGCCGGAACGGTCCAGCAGCAGGCCCATAAAAATAAACATAGGCAGCGCCACCATCACCCAGTTTTCCATCACTGCCCAGATACGCTCAACGGTCAGTGAGGTGTAAGCCCAGTCCATGCCGATCGCCAGGTTGAAATCTGCCTGCAGGACTACTGCCAGGGCGCTGAACAGGACCGCCAGCCCGCCGAGTATCCAGGCAACAGGGAAGCCGGTGAACACCAGAGCTATGAAGCTCAGGAACATGGCGATGGCAAGCACTTCGTTAGCGGCCATCAGGCTGATCCTCTGCGGTCTTGTTGAAAAACAAGAAAGCCCACACCCGTGAAAGACGAGAGATGACGGCCAGAAGTAGAAATCCGAATCCCAGCGGTAAAAATGCTTTGATCAACCAGCGCAGGGATAATCCGCCAGGTGATTGGGATACCTCATTAAACGCGTATGAGGAGGTGACAAAAGGCACGCTGAAAATCAGGATCAACGCGATCAAGGGTAGAAGGAACAGGATGATGCCGTACAACTCAATCCAGGCCTGGACCTGTGGACCGAGTTGTTCATGTATCACATCGACACGTATGTGGCTGTCTGCCTGATAGGCGTAGCTCAGGCCCAACAGAAACCCTATGCTGTACAGGTGCCACTGGAGTTCTTCCAGTTCAATACGACCTTCACTGAAGACATAGCGCATCAGCACATTCAGTACGATAACGCCAAGCAGCAAGACCCAGATCAGAGACACCCAGCGACCCAGGCCGGAAATAAGTGGATCTATCGCGCGGGAAATCTGCGTTTGCGGTAGGTAGTCGAAAGCTGCCATTTAGAAATCCCGTGGCAGGTAAGCGCGTGACTTCCAATGACTGTAGTCCTTACGGAAAGCCATCTGGCTGGCAAGTATTTCAGCAAAGTCCGAATCTGCAGCAGCCTCTTCGGCAATGATCTCACCGGCGACGATCTGCAGTTCGCGCAGCAACTCCTCAGGCAAAACCTCTGCACTCACACCAATGTCCGGGAAGCCGGCAATAATCGCACCTTGTTTGGCTTCGGAATTCGAAAGGTTGCGTATTACCCCTGCGGTGCAGCCCAGTTCGATTAATGCCTGATCCTGTGCTGAGATCTCACGCCAGGCGTCGAGATTGATAATCAAATGTGATGCGGTGAACGGTTGATGCCAGCCGGGGTAATAGTTGAATTTTGCGACGCGATTAAAGCCAAGGCTCTGATCCACAATGGGCAGCGCAAATTCAGAGGCGTCGATGGCTCCTTTTTCCAGCGCCTGGAAGATTTCGCCGCCTGGCAGCATGGTGACGCTGGCACCGAGTCGTTCTAATACTTTGCCGCCAAGCCCGGCAAACCGAATTTTCAGTCCTTCAACATCACTCAAGCTGGTGATCTTGTTGCGGAACCAACCGGCTGTTTCCGGTCCTGTCATGCCGCAATAAATAGGATGAATGTTGTGATCAGCATACAGATTTTCTGCCAGTTCACGTCCACCTGCTTCAAACCACCAGGCGCTGTATTCCCAGGGTTCCATGCCAAATGGCACCGCGCCAAACAGCGGTGATGCGGGTATTTTCCCCTGGTCGTAACCCATCCAGGTGTAACCGGCTTCCACCTTGCGATCGCGCACGGCATCTGTGATGGAGAATGCGGGCACAATTTCGCCAGGTTCAAAAATCTGAAAATTCACGGCCCCGTTGGATGAACGCTTCAGCATGTCCGCGAGATAAAGGGGGTTGTCACCCAGCACCGGCATGGTGGTCTGGAACGCAACAGGTAAGCGCCAGTTGATTCGGACCGTGTCTGCGTCGCCTTGCGCAGCAACGTTTTGATGTTGATTTTGTCCGGTTGGCCGCACCGCAAGGCTGCCAAGAATGCCGACCACAAAGGCAACTATGACTGCTATGGCAGCCGCTCGATTGCTCATCCCCTATCCCACATCGAACTGAGCGTTAGATTGTGGGAAGCCGGCGCAACGGTTGCAAGCTAAAACTCAGACTAGGGCTTGCTCGCAGGATGGATACCCGCCGCCTGCGGCTCACCAACCTCTTTTTGTCCCGCAAGGCTGTGATCAATATCGTCGTCCGCAAGTCGGTCGAGATGCATCAGTTTTTTGATGAGCGGAGACACCGCAATCACACCTACACCGACCAGAACGGAAATCCAGCCAACGGATGAGTAGACGTCCAGCACGTGATCAGGCCCCGCACCTTCTGCGCCTACGGCCGCGGCAATTAACCCCGCCGCGAAGTTGCCCGTTGCGGAGGCGAAGAACCAGGTGCCCATGATCAGGCTGGCCAGTTGAGATGGCGCCAATCGGTTCATCGCACTCAGGCCAACCGGAGACAGGCAAAGCTCGCCGGTTGTGTGCAACAGGTAAATCAGAAAGATGAAGACAACGGGTGTCAGATGATCTGCACCAGCGGACAGTGCCCCCGCAACCAGCACCAGGAAGCCGGCGCCCAGCTGCATCAAGCCCAACCCGAACTTGGCGGGTGCTGATGGCTCGAGACCACGCCGACCCAGAAACGTCCAGAGCACCGCAAATATAGGTGCCAGCAAAACAATATAGATTGCGTTGATGGACTGGAAAACCGACGCAGGGATTTCAATACCGAAAATACTTCGATCGACACTACGATCTGTAAAAAGATTAAGCGACGACCCCGCCTGTTCAAACAAGGCCCAGAATAGAATGGATCCAAAGATCAGAAACATCGCTGCAAATATGCGGTCTCTGTCATCGGGTGCCAGTTGTGCAACCGCGGTGTACAACACATAAGCGACGAGCAGGGCGCCGGATATACCGAGCAGCGAACCTACCAGCGCCTGATACTGGAGCAGAACCCAGACCAGGCCAACGGCTGTAAAGCTCAGTACGTAGAGTAACCATTCGAACCTGATTCCAGCGAGTTTCCTTTCCAGACGTGCCGGATCTGATGGTTCACCGCGGCCGACCAAAAAGGGTTTGCCCCAGATGAATACAAGCAGACCCAGTAACATACCAACACCAGCCGCACCAAAGCCATAAGACCAGCCATAGGTCTGACCCAGCCAGCCAGCGATGATTGCGCCCAGCGCTGCACCTAGATTAATGCCCATATAAAAGATGGTATAAGCCGGATCACGGCGGATGTCGGTACGGGAGTACAGTTGTCCCACCATAACGGAAATGTTGGCTTTCAGAAATCCTGCACCAACAACAATAAAGGCCAGAGCAGCCCAGAAAATATTGATCGCCGGATCTGCCTGGCCGGCGCCTTCACCTTCGAAAGCCATAAGGAAATGACCAAACGTCAGCAGCAACGCACCAAATGCCACTGCCTTGCGTTGGCCAAGATATCTGTCTGCGAGATAGCCACCAATGACCGGAGTGATGTAAACCAGTGCAGTATAAGCACCGTAAATGATTCCGGCTTCGCTGTCGGAAAACATCCAATGCTGAACAAGATAGAAAATCAGCAGGGCGCGCATGCCGTAATATGAAAAGCGCTCCCACATTTCGGCAAAAAATAAAACAAACAGACCTTTGGGATGCCCGAGAAGGGTTCCCCTGGCATCGCCGGATTCCAGATACGTCCCCGCCATTAAATTTGTGTCCTTACTGATACCTGGTATTTGTTCATATCCTATACGAGAAGGGGATACAGTAGTTGCATCCCAATGGTGATCCGGTTGAGGAGATTAACGAGTTGTTCATGATGAATTAACGACACGACTCTACGACTAGCAGCCTGGGGAGTAACAATAGAGAACTTGCACGAAAGCTTCGAGAAGAAACGCTTTCATACTCCCACTTCCCCTTAGATTGAGAGTTAGGGATTCTACTATGCAGCAGAGCGGTCGGACACCAATAATCCACTGGTGCGACTGTTCGATCGTGGTGCCGAGGAGTACTGGAGTAGTGTTGATCCTGAACCTTTCGAATTACCCCATGCGGAGTTTTTTCTGACTGCTACCGAGTTACTGCACGAAGCTGGAGTGCCGCTGATTGCGGGAACCGACGCCGGTGGGTTCGGCATCATTCCGGGTGCCTCGCTTGCACGAGAGTTGGAACTGTTGGTCGAAGCCGGGCTTCTTCCCTATGCAGCACTTGCTGTCGCGACCCGGCTAAGTGCTGAAGTGCTGGGCTTCGAAAGAAGCGGGGTAGTTACGCAGGGTTATAAGGCCAACTTGGTTCTGCTGCAGAATGATCCACTTATCAATGTTGGCACGGTAGAGTTCCCAGCGGGCGTTGCAGATGAAACTGGAGTTCTGAAAAGCCAGGCGGAAATCTTCCTGGAAAATCCAACTCCCGTATCAGAAGGTGAAGAACGCAGTGATCTTTTGCTCCTCTCCAGCGCGCTCACGATGAGCGAGATAACACGATGCCTTGAAGATTATTTACGCCAAAACCGGAGTGTCGGCCTCGGCCAACTAAAGACATTCGCTGACCCTCGATTCTTGAGATTCAGAAAACTTTTCAATCCTTGATCTACTTTTGAGTGTATACGGAAAAGAGTGTCTGGCTTAGATGTGTAAACAGTTGATAGAGTTGAGGAATGGATTTGACTAACAAAAATACTGATTCGGTATATCCCCACGCGCGGGCCAAGATATACCTATGTTAGGTTTCGAATGACTTCTTCGTTCGAACATCTTGGTGTATTCGCCGAGGTTGCGGCGGCCATTGTCGGCTTTGTCGCAATTTTTCTTGTTCTCGTTCAGCGCGAGGAAAAATTCCCTGCGGAAGACGCCATTAGGATAAGAGTCATGATACTGACGGCTTTCATCGGAATATGTGCGTCGCTACTACCGATTGCTATTGCCCAGACGAATTTAGACGAAGAAACGGTTTGGATAGTTAGCAGCGCCATCTTTTTGTTGATGCTAGGGGGAGTGGCTTCTTATACCGCAGTTCGCCATTTTCAACTGTCAAATACGGCTAGAGACAATATTCCCTTGATGAATTTGATCGTCGGCTGGGTCTGCGCAGCAATCGCGACTTTTTTGCTTGCGTCAAACTTTCTGCAAGTGCCAATACTCGGGTACTCATTTTCCTATACTGTGTCTCTGCTTTTGGTGCTCTCTGTTGGCGCTACTAATTTTTACACCATCGCAATCCAAAAACTGTTAGAGCTATGAACAGTTCCGAATTGATCGGAAATCGAAATCGACTGACAGTGGTCTTAGCCTAACTTCGGCTTTTCTGCCGCACTGCCAATCGCCAGTTATACATTGGGCGCACTGAGTAAGCCGGTTATAGACATAACAAATGTCTCCTGTGGGCGCTTTTCAGACCCCAAGCTTGGCTCAGCGAGGGTCTGCTTTGCCGTTAGATTTGATTTGGATCACAAAACCCAGCGATTTCCCGGATAGCCGACGTTCGCGAGCCTAGCTTAACAGGGAGGTTTCGGCCATTAGCTGCCATTGCCA